GCTTTATTTGCCGGGGTTATATACTAAAAAGAGGGCGCTTGGAACAAACTAGAGTTGCCAGGAAAATTCATGATCCTTCGAGAAACTCCAGCGCGCATGCTCCCAGCGTTGCGTGACTTCCGCTGTCGTAACAATACTGTTGTAAACTGTTCTATCATTGGGCGAGTTATTTTGAATTATTTGGTAAAATTAATGCAAGATTCAGTCCACGTAATAATAACAAATTAATTTATTTCGTCTTTAACGTCTGCTACTTTCACCTGTGAGTTTAACTTCAGATAGAAAAATTGTAAATAAAATTTAATGTAAGCCTAGTTTACTAATAACATTTAATAGAAATTTATTTGATTGATAACAAATGCTGACTAACTTACTGTTTAGCTTACAGAAGAACTAACTGTAACTTAATAACTCTACTCAATCAATCACACAATGAATTCTCAATCACCGAACTTACTACTTACTCCTATTCATAACTAATACACCCATGCTTAGGTATTAGTTAGAGTTACCAGATTATTGATGCCATTGTGAACTTTCTAGGACTACTTTTATGAACTATCTTGATCTCTATGCCATGTGTGCTCTTGTAAACATTTAAATCAAATATAGTTTCTAACACTGCCCCATATCCCGATTATGAAGTTCCTTGAATACTCTCAATAAAAGAATAATCTTTTTGTTTCTTTTCTTTTCTAAGACCTATGGTATGCCAAATTAATGACCGCTTATCCTTATTGTCACGTGTTGTCCTGTCACAAGTTCTTCTGCACTATCATCAGAGGAAGTTAATTTTTTATTAATACATGATTTCATAACTTTAGGTGGTACCTCTAGTAGTTTATCTGTAACTTTGATGGATTCAAGTTCCATCACCAGCTGTAGAGATTCATTTAAAGATGTACACCTATTTTACTTTAACCTTATTCTCATTTCCTCGTCTGTTTTGGCATATTTAAATTAGACATGTGTCAGTGAATCCGTCATTTCACAAGGAGCAAGCCTTTCCAAATTTTCTGCAAGTTTTGCTGAGGTCTCTTCTTTCCTCTGTGCTTTGTTCTGGAACTTTGTTCTAAATACTTCCTCCTGGTGTGTCACTCTGAATCTGTTGGATAAAGCAGCTACCGATGCTTGACACACTTGTTATGGATGTCAGCGGAAGGTTACTTAAAGTCACCAAAGCTGATCCTTTTATTAAATGGGGAGCAAGAATAATAACCTGTTCTGCACTATTCCACCCGTTTACTCTGGAAATGATTTTGAATTGAGCCTGATATGCTTTCCATTGTACCTTTCCCTCATAGTCCATTCGTTTCTAAATTGGGTAACGTTGTTGAATGGACCTGCTAAATTCTAGAAATAGATTTGGTACTAATATGGCTAGAGTAGTCCTGGAAGGTTAGATTTGGTACTAATATGGCTAGAGTAGTCTTGGAAGGTTAGATTTGGTACTAATATGGCTAGAGTAGTCCTGGAAGGTTAGATTTGGTACTAATATGGCTAGAGTAGTCCTGGAAAGTTAGATTTGGTACTAATATGGCTAGAGTAGCCCTGGAAGGTTAAATTTGGTACTAATATGGCTAGAGTAGTCCTGGAAGGTTATATTTGGTACTAATATGGCTAGAATAGTACTGGAAGATTAAATTTGGTACTAATATGGCTAGAGTAGTCCTGGAAGGTTAAATTTGGTACTAATATGGCTAGAGTAGTCCTGGAAGGTTATATTTGGTACTAATATGGCTAGAATAGTCCTGGAAGATTCGATTTGGTACTAATATGGCTAAAGTAGTCCTGGAAGGTTAGATTTGGTACTAATATGGCTAGAGTAGTCCTGGAAGATTAGATTTGGTACTAATATGGCTATAGTAGTCCTGGAATGTTAAATTTGGTACTAATATGGCTAGAGTAGTCCTGGAAGG